ATCGTCATCATCATCCTCGTCATCCTTATCCTCACCTTCCTCCTCATCCTCCTCCTCCTCCCCTTTCTCCTCCTCCTCCTCCTCCTCTGCCCCTCCTCCTCCTCACCCTTTCTCGTCTAGTATGTCTTCGACCATGCGTGCGGAACGGGGACCTTCGTCAGTGGTGTTTTGTCCCCTCCTCATCTGCCTCATCCTCGTTCTTCTGTTCGTCGCCATCACCATCATCAACACCATCACCATCAACATCGATGCCCTCCTTCTCAGCCTCCTCCTCCCCCTGGTCTACGAGGTCTTCGACCAGACTCGGGGATCGGGGAGTTTCGTCAGCGGGATCGTGTCTCTTCCTTCTCCTCCACTTCCTCATTCTTCTTCTCCTCATCATCATCATCATCATCCTCATCATCCTCATCATCAGCATTACCATCCTCATCCTCCCCATCGTCAGCAGCAGCATCATCAGCATCAGCATGAGCATCATCATCACCATCATCATCAGCAGCAGTAGCATCTGCAACAGCATCAGATTCATCGTCATAGCCACCGTGAGCATCATCTTCATGATCGGATTCAACTTCATCTTCATCACCAGCAGCAGCAACATCAACATCAAAATCAACATTATCCTCCTCCTCTCCCCCCTCCCCTTTCCCCTTGCTCCTCCGCCTCCCCATCCACCTCCCCATCTCAATCCTTCGACTCCCCATCCACCTCCGTGTCTCGACCTGCGCCGCTTCCACCCCATCCCCATCGGGGGGATCGCAGGCCGGCCGCGTGCACTGAGGGCCGGCGCTTTGTGGGGAGCGCGCGATTTCGGGCCAGACCTGGAGCCCTGAAGGGGCCAGATGCCCCCGCGTTCCCCGCCCGTCGCCCCTCCGAACGCCGCAGGCGTCGCAGCTTTACGCGTGTGCCCAGGGGGTATGTCCCTCCAGCTTTCCACCATTGCTACCGCCGCCAGTTTTGAGTGTCGTCCCTGACCTTGCTCGGTGCGCGCTGTTCCACTGGGAGCCTGGGCTCAGGGCCATGAGACCTTTCGTTCCATACTCACTCTGGCCGCGGGCTTGCATTTGCCAGGTTACCGTCTCATCGGATTCGACCGCGCATCATGATGACATCCAAGTTGCAGACCTCGCACGGGCACCCAGCATGATGTGGTATCAGCCCGCCGCGTTGCGAGTACTGTTCAGACGAGGAGTACATCAAGCACAAATGTATTCGGAACGCAAGGCCCCGCGTTAGTTGACCGCCCATTGAGTGTTCCCCACACACCGTTTGCTCTGATAAGAACTCGTGCGCATCGTAAAAAATGCCCTGTTCGGCTGCGGAGGCTGGTGCACGACTAGCCCAGATGCGTGCGGCACCAGTCCTAGATAGCATTGCTTCAGCCAGTCGGTGATTTGTTGTTGGCGCGCTTGTGCGTGACGAGCCCAAATCAAGGCGGCAGTGGCCCCGATTGGTTCTGCCATGGCCGGCTGGTGTTCTTTTGTTGGCGACGAGCTGGCGCGGTGGTGCCCGACTGGTCTTGGTCTGGTGTCGGCACTTTAATAGGGCCACCGTTGTCCACGCGATTTCGCGTCTGCCGCATGCTTCCACACGATGCCTTATTTCTTGCTTTTGTTCGCACATGATTACGATTGCTTCCATTCTTCGGGATCCACGACAAAATAATAAGAGCAACAACTGTTCGGGATCCACGCGTCGGTAGCACTTTACTTGCAGCCAGGAGCCATTCAGCCATGAAGAAGCGCTCCTTGCCCAGAGTGGGTATGATAATTGGGATTGCTCCGATTGACCGACACTCACGAGCGAGTAGATGCTTGTGTTCGGCAAAGGCTGGACCAACCCTGCGAAGATGTGGACTCGTCTTGCCAACGAGGAAGGACATGCTCGCTCGATCTGTATGTGGGCTTGCACGTCGTTGAGGCTATCGCTAAATCTAAGCGGAGGCGATTTTAAGCACCACTCGAGCAGACCCTTTTAGAGTGTGATGTTCCCTGCCCGCTCTCAACGCAGATGCGGCGTTTGTGTGCGTGCCAAACTCGCTCCCTGTGGCTCAATGCTGCTGGAGGCTGCCAGGGCAGCAAAGTAGAACGCTGCCTGGTTGTGTCCGGGGCCTCGGCACCCAGGGCCTCGACCATTCTCCTTGGGTCTGGCCACTCGTCCTGAGCAGTTTTGTTGACGGCCCTAGGGCTGGGGGGCGTCCTTCAGAAGCTCGAACCGCCAAACGATTCCCGTCAGTTTTTTTAATGCTCGAACAAGGAAAAAAAAAGAAACAGCAATTGCATAAACCTACACTTTGCGCTCCGCGCGGAGCACCACAAGTTTGTGTTTGTGTTGTTGTTTTTTATTCTATATGTGCCAGCCCGATGTGAGGGATGTTGGGCCCCCCGGTGGCTCCTGCCGTTGCGCGCCAGCGCTTGCCCTAGCCATCTCGGCGGGGCCTCGATCGTTTACCCCCTCCCCCACTTCCTGGCTCGGCGCCCCTGCGATGCCGCAAAAGATG